CTATCTTGGTTGCAGGCTCAATCTTGGGAGGCAACCAATTGATGGCTCTCTCTCTCACATCCGGTGTTTCTCTCTGTGTCTCTCCTTCTCCTTCCATGCTCTCTAAAATTCAATGGAAAAAATATCCTAGGGTGAGGATTAACAAAATAAAAAGTCTATTTAGTGTCTGAGATCTCTCTCTGTAAGTAATGCAAATAATTATATAAGACAAGTCTTTCACCTCCAATACTTACTGTATTGCTTAAACAACAAGACTTAAACCTTCAGGCCAGGCTGGTATGCCACAAAGTCAAGATTCTGGAGTTCTCTCTCTCCCACACCCGCCTCTGAGAGAAGCCAGGTCGCATTCTCTAACATGTGACTTTCTCCTTTCCTGGTCTGCTCCCCTGCTCTGGTCCCAGGAACTAGCCCTGGGCCGGGATGAGAGACCCAGGGGCTGCTTGCTACAAAGAGATGAAGAGGGCCGCTGGGTTCTTTCTCTTTCTAATATGAAGAGGAAGTGACTGTGCTGGCAACAGCTGGGTCTAAAGTGAGCAGGTCCAGGAGCTGGGGGTGGGTGGGGTGGGGCAGAGTTGGGGATGGGACTATTGCAGGTTCAAGGTAAAAGAGAATAGAGAGGAGGAAACTGGAGGGGGAAACCCTACCGAAAGAAGAAGTGATACCAGAAACTGGCTCAGCTTTTTTCTAATTCCAGACCACATTTATGCAGCCACAGGAGTGCAGCTGTGCAGAGCAGGGAACTGTACCCACTCAGTAAGGACAGAGCAGTGAGTAGAAGTAGTAACTGAAGATAAAGAGCAAAGAGAAGGGCCCAGATCATGGTGCTCTCAGGCAAGGTTCCTCAGCCTCAGCACTAGTGACATTTTGGTGATATCTGTTGTCCTGTATATTATAAGATGTTTAGCAACATCCCTGGCTTCAACCCACTAGATGTCAGTAGCAACCTCCTCCCTTAATATAGCAATAACAACAAAAACAATACATAAAAAACTTACTCCAGACATTGCCAATGCCCCCTGGGGACAGAATCACCCACAGTGGAGAGCTTCTGCTTAAGGAGGTTAAATTTTAACCTGTCAGCAAAAGGAAGCCATTTAATGATAAAAGAGAATAGAGAGGAGGAAACAAGCATAGGGAGCAGTAAGATCAGACATGCTTTTCAAAAGAATGCAGTAGTGTGGAGGTCAACTGTGAAGGTACAGGTATGGAGGCAAAAGGACCATCAGACAAATGACACTGTTTTGGGGACCATCATGAACACGTGACCCAAGACAACAACAGTGGAGACAGAAGAGCTGAAACTGGTTTGGCTCAGTGGCAGAGCGTCGGTCTGCGGACTGAAAAGTCCCAGGTTCGATTCCGGTCAGGGGCATGTACTGTACGTTGGTTGCGGGCACATCCCCGGTAGGGGGTGTGCAAGAGGCAGCTGGTTGATGTTTCTCTCTCATCGACGTTTCTAGCTCTCTATCTCTCTCCCTTCCTCTCTGTAAAAAAATCAATAAAATATATTTAAACAAACAAACAAACAGTGGAGACAGAAGAGAGAGTATTAAAGCAAATTATAACGGTAGAGTTAGACAGGATTCCTGAGCACAATTGGACATAGCATTTGAGGGGAAGGGAGAAATGGTAGGAAATTACTTGGCTTCTGGTTTGGCAATTTAGGTGGTTGCACTGAGGGTCATTACTTAGGATAGGAAATTTAAAAGGAAGAACATGTTTAAAAAATAAGTATAGTTTTAAACAGAATAAAAGTCTGAGGTAGTGAGGTTAGTAGAGTTAGGGCTCAGCTAGCCAACAGTTACAGTGCATGCTATGTCTCAGGCCCTTCACAAGCACTAACTCACTTAATCTTCACCACATCCACTGAGATAAGACAGTAACTACTGTCACCAAACTTACAGATGGGGAAACTGCTGCCTAGAGAAGTTAAAGAACTTCTCTAGGATTCCACAGCTCACAGGTTTTGGAGCTGGCATCCAAACTCAGTCTATGCTCTGGCCCACTCTACTCTACTGCCTGCCTCTGGACACAAAGCGGAAGATCAGGATTATGTTATATAAGTGCACAGAGGAGAAGCCACAGGCATAAATGTGAACTCCCGGGAAAAATGAGCAGAGAGAAAAAAGCAATTTAGGATGAGAGGTTAGAGAAAGTATCTGTTAAGCCAAATGTGAGGGAGAAGCTGAAGGAAGGAGCCAGTGGGGGAACAACACAAGAGGAGAAGTCTTAGGAGCAGGGAGTAATGACATTCTTGTAACCCACAGCAATCCCTCACATACAGCCTACTTTTTATAAATGTTTTTCATTGAATTAATAAGCCTCATCCCAAATAATGATATTAAATATCCACGCTTCTAGCATATTCTGAGTCTTCATAGATGAGCAAAACCTAAATCATGTTTGTGATTTTTCTAGAATACCAAATCTGTGGAAGACATGTTGTCATTAAATATAAAACAGTAGCTTAGACGCCATATGAAATCATTCCTTACATTTATATCCAGCTAAAAAGGTTTTTTAAAGCTTTATTCACATCCTATTTTCTCAGCAATGAAGCATGTTACTATTTTGCATTTTGGTAAAGATCACATGAAATATTGGCTCTTCTAAGTGTTGCAACTGGCAGATACAAAACTGTACAGTCTCTTGCTGAAAGAGAATTTAGAAAATGTCTATGGAAACTGATGACTTCTCACTTAAAGGAGTCATTGGAGCATCTGGTGGATTGGGTTTACTGCTAAGATAAATCTGTGCATCTGAACAGTGTTTGTTATGCATCCAGTCCTTAGCAGACTTTACAATTATGTACCCCAAACACAAACATTTAGTACAGAATGAGTTTCCTCGCAAAGCAAAAACTCTGGGCCCCATTTCCAATTTGAGACAAGTGTTTTCTAAGACATAAATCTCGATTTCCAGGCCCAAATTCAAAGTGCTTTCCAAACTTTAATACACAAATCATGTGGGGATTCCGTTAGAATGAAGATCTGATTCAGGGTGTGAAGCTGGGAGACACTGCCTTCCTAACAGGAAGTGATGCGGACGCTCTGGTCCTCACTCTGTGCCTCTGCGCCCAGGGACCAGTGCTGGCAGCACAGGGCCCCTCACAGAACTGCACGTCCCTCTGTGTCCAGCAGGGCATGCTAATACCGTCTATGCTGCAAGTGATGACTCTAAATTATTCTTTTAAATTATTTACAATTCACTCATTCACATTTTCTTATTCTGTTGTTAATAAAAATCTTTCCTCTCTATTGCTTTCATTATCCTAAACTGTGATCTGACTGTGAAGGCCTCAGCTGGTTCTTTGAGATTTCTCTCCCATAGTCCCTGTATAGGCTGAATGGGATGGATTATTTTCTAAATATAAACCATGCTGTGTCCCCACACCCCTTGGGCTTTGGTTTGGTTTGCTGTGGTTGATGCTTTCCTTTCTCAGGCCATCTCTCTCGGTTTACCTTGCCTGATTTCTCAATGAGATGTGATCTCTCTATTCCCTGAACAACCAGTCCCCACAGGAACTTCTCTTTCATTCTAATATTTACGATATTCTGTCTATAAATATGTTGGTGCTTGTCATATCTCCACCACTCAAGTACCAGCTACTTGAGGGCAGCAAATTTTATAACTAAACACAACTCCATTAAAATAAAGTTGAAGTGTTACTCCTTACTGATGCTAAATGTGATCAAAATATTCCCAAATCATCTAAATTAGGGCTTTAATTTCTCCAAAATGATGGGTTTTCCACTTTACTCATCACACACGGAAAACTGGGCACAATTTGCATTTTTCCCCAACTCTCATAGCTAGAAAATTTTTATTTAACCTTGCTTCATATATTTTATAAGAATTTAAGTTCTAAATCAGTTCATCTGGCATTTTCATACTGAACAGGCCAAATATCCACATTCTAGTCCTGAACCTGTGAGTATGTTACCTTACGAGGCAAAGGGGCTTGGCAGTTATGATTCAGTTAAGACCTTGAGAGGGGTAGGTTATCCTGGATGATTTGGGTAGGGCCTAAGGCAATAACAAGAATCCTCAAAGCGGGAGAGGAGACATGAGGAGGACTCAACAACCTCCTGTTGAGGTTTTGCAGATGGCGGAAGGGGTCACGAGCCAAAAAATGTGGGCAGCTTCCAGCAGCTGGAAAAGGCGAGGAAACATTCTCCTCAAGAGCAACCACAAAGGGTTGCAGCCCCACTGACATCTTGATTTTAGCCCAGTGAACCTGTGTTGAACTTCTAAACCACAGAATGATATAACAAATTTGTGTTGGTTTAAGTCACTACTTTGTGGCAGCAATAGGAAATATGCTATAAAAAGAAACTATATGGTATAAAAACTATATGGTTTACCAATATGATATAAAAAGGAATTCTACAAGACAAACACAGAGGTCACTCCTCAAAAGGAAAGTGTGATGCTCTATAAAAAGCTCAACAAATATGTTAATGAAAATGTAGTTTGCATTACTAAGAAATATACCCGTGTTTCTTAAAAAGGTAATATATCCATAGCTAGTCTGGCTCAGTGGAGAGCGCGTTGGCCTGTGGACTGAAGGGTCCCAGGTTCAATTCCGGTCAAGTGCACATGCCTGGGTTGCAGGCTCCTTCCCTAAATGGTGAGTAAAGGAGGCAGCTGATCAATGATTCTCTCTTGTCATTGATGGTTCTATTTCTCTCTCTCCCTCTCCCTTCCTCTCTGAAATCAATAAAAATACATATTTAATATTTGTATATTAAAAAGTTAATACACAAAGTTTAAAACCAGGTTTATAAAATGGTTGAAAGTAAATACAATTAATTTTGATTGAAAAGTTAGGTTAGTAACAGAGGAGAACAAGGTATTTTCAACCAAAGAAGTGATAAAAATTAAGTGTGAAAATTTGATACTCTTGCAGGTAATGTTTAAAAAAGGGAACATCATCCTATCCTTTTCCATAGCACAGGCAGAAAACGGAAACCAGCATTTCTTTTAAAGCTCATATTTACCTGATGATCCTCTGGGCAGCATACTGATGGAGAGAACGGAACTGGGCCGACATATTTGCTAAAGCTGCCAAACAATTTGTGTGAAGGTACTTGTCCTGTCAGAAAACAGCAAGTTGAAAACATTCATCAAGTTTTCTCGGCATTGTAAGCAAGGCTAATTAGAAGCAAATGTAAACTCGACTTTCATTGATTGTTGAAAGCTCAGGTCCACAATCTCTTTTCCCTAATTCCAAAAACCGACAAAGCACTAAAAGTTTCAAAGTGCTTTCACCACGCCTTTGGAAGCAGCATCTGGCAAAGGAGCCTGATGCTCTTTTGTGGTCCTTGTTGCCCTGCCCTGGTGAATGCCGAAGTACTCTGCTGCAGAAATATTAATATTTAATTACAGTGTGCTGCTCCAGAACCTAATGGCTGCATTCAGTAAGCATCTGCTCTATAGTTATCTTTCTAAAATCAAAACGTTCTCCATTCTCACACACATCTGGCTCCTAGAGTTTCAGATAGAAGATTCTGAACATGTATCTACGTTAGCCTCACAGAGGAAATAATTGAAAACAGGTCAGTAAACTTGACCATGTCTCTGAGTTATGAATTCTGTATATGGCTAGTCTATTGACTGGAACTGAAATTTGCCCCCAGATACTGCAAATACAATCCAGTTGAAATTTTCCCTTTACTCTTTGAAAGTGTTCTTTCTTCCATTGTCTCCCCAACTGAATTTATTTTTCTTCTACTCCTATCTTCTTAGTTTGCTGTTGCTTTTAAAGGGCAAATTAGTTTTATCGGTCCAGCAAAGATGTACAGCATCTTTTATTTAAATGTGCTCTACTGCTTGTTTTCGATCTCATGTAAAATGTCTCTAATCATGCAGGCTATTAAATATTAAGAAACAGATGCTATATATAGTACCTTAGGATCATGTAATACAGTGACTATATGCTGATCTGTATTTTTCTACTGTACTTCATGAGAACATCGGCACTCTCAATATTCAGAGTTCCTTCAACTACTGTATAGTCTTAATTGCACTATATGCATATAGAGAATAAAGCAGCTTAGAATACTTACTCTTGTCCTTGTCATGTTGTATTGAATGGTTCTTATTACAACCAGTATTAGGAGACTCCCCAGGGAAATTTCTGTTAAAACCCGTTCTGAATACCAAGTAATATTTTTTAATATCTGTAATGGAGAAGAAAAGATTAAGTTAACAAGGTTGACTTAGGGAACAGTACTATCCATGTCTATATACCAGGTGTACCGGTTAATAATGCGAATTTTTTTCACTAGATGGAGTTACACGTATATATATGCGATTTGATATATATGCTATTTTCTTATATTGTAGCAAGCTTCAAAACTTCATATGTCAATATGAATACGTTAGTAGAATTAGGGTTCAGCTAGTCAACTTCTGCACCTTCTACTTATTCCAGACATTGCCAATGTCCCCTGGGGACAAAATCACTCACAGTGGAGTGGTTCAGGTACATCTGGAGTAAGTGGAAGATACTGAAAGTGCTAACATCATAGATATTTTTATGCATCATAGATAGTTTATGATTTAACATCATAAAAATGTCAAATTTCATGCTAAAAAAAAAAGAGCATTTGTGGGAAGTTTTGATTCATTACTTTATTTTTAAGAAAAGTACTACTGAAAGTTATCCGTATACTTCAGGAAGCTTCTGGTGAACATGCTCTATATCAAGATAGTTGTGAACACTGGTTTAAATGCTTTCAAAGTGATGATTTTGATGTGAAAGACAAAGACGTCCAGGTCAACCGAAAAAGTTTGAAGACCAAGAATTACAAGCATTATTGAATGAAGATGTGTGTCAAACTCAAAAACAACTTGCAGAAAGATTAAATGTTGCTCAGCAAACGATTTCCAATCATTTACAAGCAATGGGAAAGATTTTAAAGGAAGGAAAATGGGTGCTTCATCAACTGAAAGACAAATGGAAATCCTAAAAGTCATCAGTATAATGTTGCTTCAACAGCACTAAAGTAAGTCTTTTTTGCATCGAATTGTGGCTGGCGATGAAAAGTAGATTTATTTTAAGAATCCCAAATGCACAAAATCATCAACATCGACTACAAGGCCAAATCGCTTTGGAAAGAAAACAGTGCTCTGTGTTTGGTGGGATCAGGAAGGTGTGGTGTATTATGAGCTTCTAAAACCAGGTGCAACATTTAATACTGATCACTACTGACAACAAATAATCAATTTAAACATGCTTTGATCATAAAACAACCAGAATGTTCCAGAAGACACGGCGAAGTAATTTTGCTTCATGATGATGCACCATTACACACTTCAAAATCAGGTTAAATCAGCAAAACTTTTAGGATTTCCATTTGTCTTTTAGTCTTAAAGACATGCTAAAAGATCTTGCCTGGAAAGTATTAACCCACCCGCTACATTCACCAGACCTTGCTCCTTCAGATGAGCACTTGTTCCAATTGATGGCACATGTACTTTCTGCGCAGCACTTTAAAATGTACAAAGAAGTGGAAAATTAGGTCTCTGAATGGTTTGCCTCAAAACAAGAAAAATTCTATTGGGACGGTCTCCGCAAATTACCTGAAAGATGGGGAAATGTGTAGCCAGAGATGGACATGACTTTGAATAAAGCACTTTGATGTTTCTCTTGAAATTATTGTGTTTTCTTTGATTACAAAATCCGCATTATTAACAGGTACACCTGGTAATTTCGGGTAAGCCATGGCAATGCTCTGAATTAAATGGTATATACTAACAAAATTGAATTGTGAGACTTTGAGTATGAGACAGCCAAACTGTACTGATGTGTTTACTTCTCCTTCCCCCTTACTTCTTAAATATAAAAGAAAGAAAAAAATCAAGTCTGGAATCAGGAGGTTGTCATTTGTAGACAAAAAGGAGGTATGGCACATAGTACAAGCCTGAGAGAAAGAGTCAGAGCTTAGCAGTCTGAAAGCGAACGGAAGAAAACCAAGGACTCTCTTGAGAAGTAGAGCTCTCCCAACCGCAGAAAGCTCCACGCTGTGTTCAGGAGAAGGCCAGGAATGCAAATAGCCAAGATCTTCAAGAACAGATGTCCCTGTGTTCTGTTCTGTCTACTCAGAGCAGGCAGCTCACCCTCAGGCCTCAGTAAGCAAGAACTGTTTTCTAATTTAACTTGGCACAGTTTCACTGTAGATTTGTAATATGGGTATCAAAGAGAGAGAAAGAAAATGGGTAGACACGGGGTGCACTATTTTTCATGAAAACCTAGTACTTCCATACAAACTGCCAGTTTCAAAAATAGTCACAAAGATGTAAAGTACAACATAGAAAATATAGTCAGTAATCTATATATATGAAAGCCTAAGCAATCAGCTGACTGGCCCTATGACACACACTGACCACCAGGGGGAAGACACTCAACACAGGAACTGCGGAATGACAGCAACTTTGCAGAGTGCCCTCTCGCACTCTGGGACCCCTTGGGGGGATATCAGACTGCTGACTTCGGCCCGATCCCCACTGGCCAGGCCAAAGGAGCCCCAATGGCCACCTTATAATTAATTTACTTTCAATGTGCATGAATCTGTGCACTGGGCCTCTAGTATTATAATAACTATGTATGGTGCAGGGGGCTCTAGGCTTCTCATGGACATCACTTCATAAAGTATTTAAGTGTCTAATCACTGTTGTACATCTGAAACTAACATAATATTGTGTCAACTATAATTGAAAAATAAAATTAAAAAAAAAACTACTTCTATATGTTTTAACACTGTTTATATGGACACAAACATTTTTAATGTTATAAAGAAAATGCCAAAAAAGAAGATAAAATCAGTTTGGGAATGTAATTCACCAGCAGGAATAAAATTTAAGGACTAAAATTATATTACATTGTCTTTTTCTGTTTATCATGAATTTTATATATATAATTGATTTCGAGAAGAAGGGAGAGGACTAGAGAGATAGAAACATTAATGATGAGAGAGAATTATTAATCGGCTGCCTCCTGCACGCCCCTGTCTGGGGATCGAATCCCAAACCTGGGCATATGCCCTGACAGAGAATCGAACTGTGAGCTCATGGTTCATAGGTCCATGCTCAAGCACTGAACCATGCCTACTGGGCATATTACAGTGTCTTTTAAAAAATAAAATGACTGATTTATCAGTCTTCTTCCCTTTATTCTATATTCTTTCACTCATGTATACCAGGAGATAAACCTGTTGGACAATTTCTGTCTCAACTGAAAAATGGACATAAAATGGAGAAGAAAAATGAAACCAGTGGCAACAAAAACATTTGCTTCCATTACTAAAGAAACCATTTTGAGAGCATTTTTAATGGTGGCTAATAGTCATTCGGAAAAAACACACAATACAAAATAGCATTTGATAAATGGTTCACAGATGGTTTCTAAGTCAGGTTCTGTCAGAAACAGCTACCAGAAGGAAAAGGAAGAACTGCTAAGCCTCAGTGAAAGGTATGGAGGGATATATTGATTCTATAACTCTAACTCTAATCAAATTAATGGTGCTTACCACTTCGTGAATGGATCTATTGAAGCCATCGTCTTCTGTGAGGATCAACAATATTATAAGAGCCATATACACGTGGTGTGAGTTTCTTTCTTCAACATGATACAGAATCTCAAGAATTGGTAAAACCTAGGGAATATAAATTTTACTTTACTATTTCTATTACTTTATTATGAGACCAATGTCTTAAACTTTTATACTTTTATTATCTACCCTTTGCTTAACTTCATAGTTACATTTTTCTTTAGAGAAAAAGACACACAAACCTTCTCTGACCGAAAGTCCTTTCCACGTGAACAGCTAAGACACCAGCAAAGGAAATCACCACCGAATTGGTCTGCTGACACATGCAGGGTGGGTTTGCAGAGAGCATGGAGGCTCACCGTCAGCACAGACACTGAACAGAGGCAAGTCTGCCCCCAGCCTACTAGGAACTTACACACAATAAAGTATTCTCAGGAACACTGTAATGTGTCAAACACTACCTTCCTAATAACAAAGACTGTAAAATAAAAGAATTGCTAACTGACAAAAATCAGATCAGCACAATAAATTTTCTACCCATTACATTTTCTAAGCTTTAACAAGGTATTTACTATAGAAGAAAGTCAAAAGGATAGAGACATTATCAAAGTAATCTATGCAAAAAATGTAAAAACAAAACAAAAAACAAACAAAAAACACATGAAGAACTCAATTCCACCCTCCCAAGTAAAAACAAAACCTTTTAACTTTTCACTGGTGTACTCTGAGTGGCCAGATTATTATGATCTCTGAACACATAATAATCTGGCCACTCAGTGTGTGTGAGTGTGTGTGAGTGTGTGTGTGTATTTATAACGCACGCATGTGTATTTATATATATGTTAGAGGTCTGGTGCATGAATTCGTGCATGGGTGGAGTCCGGCCAGCCTGGCCAGGGGGAGGGGACATGGGCAGTTGGCCGGCCTGCTTGCTGGTCGACTCCTGGTAGAGGGGACAATTTGCTTATTAGTTTTTTATTATATAGGATATACACTGAGTGGCCAGATCATTATGCATTCAGAGATCATAATAATCTGGCCACTCAGTGTATATCATAGACAAATGCTCCTCCATCATTAAAAAAAAAAATGATCTTAGACAAAGGGAAGGAGAGAGACAGAGAGAGAAACAATTGGTTGCCTCCCACACATGCCCCAACTGGGGCTCGAACCCATAACCTGGCTATATGCCCTGACAGGGAATCGAACACGCCACCTTTTGGTGTACAGGGTGACACTCCAACCAATGGAGCCACACCGGCCAGGTCATCCCTGTGTCATCTTATAGACCAACCTGTATACCACAGAACTTTCCAGAACTGGTAATGTCACAGGCTTTCTGCTTATTGTTATCATTTCCCTTAGAATACATCTTACTCAGAATTGTCTCTGTGCTCATAACCTACCCATCAGTAAACAGGCCTTCTCGTTAAGTTTTCACTCACATAAGTAGTACAATGTTGCACCGATTTTGCTATTTAAGCTTATCTTTTTCACATGTAGTTGGTATAGAGATAGGTTCTTTCATTGTTTTTTTGCCCTCACTGTCACTTTGACATAGGAGATGCTTTTCAAATGAATTTTAATATCCCACACTACTCAGTATTTTATCTTTAAAACACACACACACACACACACACACACACACACACACACACACACGGCTACCAATACCTCGTGAATCCTGCTGTCAACCTGTAAAATCCAGTGCAGAGGGGGCATCCCTCTGGCTGCCAGCAGTGGGCGGCTGGTGAAGACCTGACGGACAGGGAAGCTGTGGTGCTGCTGCCTCTTTGCTCTGTGGTGCCATCTCTATGAGCTCTGACTCCGACACTGCCCAGCTCTACCTTTGCCTATCAGGTGACATCTCCCTGTTCTTTCTCAGCCATCACCTTGTAGCAACCAAGCAAATACACTTCCCCTCTGGGGAAAAGAAATTATTCTCCAAAATATATTATTCTATAACATACAAAAAGATGTAATGTTTAGCATGTTACTTACAAGATTTTCCATATCCGTGCGAGCCAACATGTACGTCCTAATATTACTATTCTGATGGAGCAATGTATACAATAGGAGAGTTGCCTGATCAGACGTCTGCTGCTCACAGAGAGTCGTGTACAAACTGTTAAAATTAATCTGGAAAGCATGTGGGATTGATGAGGGGAAGGGGCTGTTATCTGAAATACAGAAAACAGAAAAATTTTTTAAATACTTCATCAGTATTTTCTAGACTGTGCCCTTTATAAATAATAAAAACCCACTCATGTATACAATCAATTCCAATTCATTTTACATGTTGCTACCTTTCAGATTCAAAATTTTGATTTACATTTAAAATTCTACTTAAAAAGTAACTAAATGTAAAACATTACAGAGGTGGTAACACTGTATTGTATAACTGAAATTTTCTGAGAGTTGAACTAAAATAATTACACACACACACACACACACACACAAGAATAAAAAAACACTGGGACAATTTATTTCTCTATACCATCTAAGCAGCTTTCCAATGGTTAGGTGCACCATCCCTTATTTAATCCAAACAACAACCATGTCATTGCTCTCACCAGTTTTACAAAGGATGAAAAAGAAGCAAAGAGGGATTAAGTAAATTTTCCAAGATCAGCCCTGAGTAAAACACAGGCCAATTAGCTTCTGTTGTTTTCACGACCTAATACTGCTTCTTTAATAATAGCAATAATTCAGGGAGTCAGTACTATGACAGATGCTCATTTACTTCTTATTAAAAACCTTAAGCTATAGAGTTTATAACCTCTGCTTCATGAATAAAGAGACGAGTACTTAACAAATAAAGACTGGGCTATGAAGCCAGGTCAGTCTAACTCTGAAGCCAATGCTCTGAATCAGCGTATCGCCACAGTCTCTGAAAGATAACCATCTCAGGAAGGTTCAAGCCCAAATAATAACATTTGGCCAGAGCAGCAGAAATAATAATAGTAGAGAGACCACAAAATGGACACTTGCTTTGTTGCAAAATCTGAGCTGATCATTTAAAAACCTTACCTTGCTTGGTACTTATACAAATACTATTAGTTATATTATCTTCATGTTACGGACAAAGCCACTGAAGCTTACTGACATTAAGCAAACTGTGAAAGGCTTCTCAGATCTGAAGTGACCACAGAAAATATTATTAGATATGAGAGATTTCACTTCTAACCTATCAAATTATTAGAGACTTCTTATTCCCCTGTAAATAATAATATCAGAATAAGCAAAACCACAACTAATTGGCACCCTCAGCCACTGTCTATAAGAAACAAGTTAGAGAAGCTCTGAAAAGAAGCAGGGCAAAGGGCATCAGAGACCTTAAAAATTTCTATCTAATTCACGACTTTTTACCCATCTTATTATGTGAATGTTGAGCTACCTCTCGATAATCTAGCCTACTATAGCATCTTGCTTTCAGAGTATAACCTTTGGAAAAGAGAGTATTGCTTCAACATATAACTTTCTACCTATGCCCTACCTATCTCACGGTTTGGCAAACTACAGCCCACAAACAGCCCACCACCTGTTTGGAAATAAAGTTTTATTGGAAGCAGCCATGCACACTCACGTATGTATTATCTCTGCCTGCTTTGTGCTGTGATGGCAGAGTTAAGAGGTGGTGACAGAGACCACATGGCCATGCAAAGCCATCTGCTCCTTTGCAGAAAAAGATTGCTCAGTTATGTTCTAATTTTTAGTTCTATAAAACTCTAAATAGACTTTGAGTGAAAAATGTCAAACAACCTATCATTTAGAGTTTTGTTAGGTTTATTTTCATCCCTAACAGGTAGGATAGATGGATCCAAATTAAGCACTTGCTGGCTGGGTTATCTCTGAAAGAAATGCAAATTTAAACACATATAAGGAAACACAGCCCCCATCTAAGATTTACCTGACTTTTCTGAGAAAACAGGCAGGAAAATGTAAGCTATTCTCATCATTACTCAGTATGAAAATATACTGGACCATCACCTCCACAATTATAAGGCAATAAACAATATGGGGTTAACAACACCCTCTTTCCTCATTAGAAAGAATGCTCAGAGAAAACCCCCACCAACCTTGTGTGTTCTTGAAGGACATAATGGCCTGTCTGTAGGGGTTTGGTGCATCTGCCGCATCGGTCAGATTGGCCAGCACCAGCAGGAGCAGGAGACTCTGGTTGGCCAGCGGGGAAGCAAGGGCCGGTGCGCTGGCCGCTTTGCTGCCCACGCCGCCCAGGGTGAAGACAGTCCAGAGTCCACCTTGAGAAGAAAACATACGGGTCAGATGTGCTAAGACAGGTAAGTGACTATATTTCTGTGCAACAATCCATACTTTTTCATTCTTAAAAGGTTGAAATAACATTCTTTTTTTATATATGAAAGTAAAACAAGTCCATTATTTGAAAATTCCCATATCGCCCAAGGATATAAAGTTTTTAAAGACCGTATCATTCCCAACTCCACTACCACTTCCCATAGATTAACCATCATAAAGTTTCTAATATCTCTCTCCATATTTTCATTATATACCCAAACATATTCACATTTATAAGAAAATTTCATGTACGACGTTATACACATATATCTGAAAACCTAAGCAAAATATTAAAATATCCAGGAAAACACTAAATATCAAAATTGACCAAAAAGACAAAAGTCTGAATTGGCAAATAATCTTAGAAGAGTGAAAAATGGACTCAAAGAGCTAACCCTAAAAACGAACCACGTCCAGCTATTTTAACAAATAAGTCTAACAAACCCTCAAAGTACAGGTAATTCTCATCTATATATATAAAAACTTAAGCGAGATACTCTAAATCAAACAAAAGGAGATAAAATTTTGTAGAAAATTTTGTTAAAAAGAATAAATACATCATGGTCAAGAAGGTTTTGTCTCTGAAATGCAAGAATGGTTTACCATTCAATAAAAAACTTATAAATTTGTTTCTCTTCATTTAAAAAAGATGGGAGAAAAGATTGTCATCTCAAGAGATGCCAATTTTTAAAAATTACACTTAAAACCTATTCTGAATTTAATGAAAGAGAATTCCTAACAACTAGAAAAGGAAAAAAATTTATTGTTTTGTCTACCTAATCAGAAATTCACAGTGGTCAAACAATTAGAATTCCATTATATCACCAACATCCATACTGTACTACTGGACCACTAAGCAAAAGATATTAAGGAAAGAAAAACAAAGACAAGAAGAAAAAAAAAAAAAGGAAAAACCTTAATTTTTTACAAGCAATCTGTTTGTGCACTAGTCAATACAGTAGCCACTAGCCATTGTGGGCTGTTCTGGGAATTTGAAATGTGGTTATATAGTCTAAACCCGGAGTTCCAAAGATTTAAAAATAAAAAATTTTAAAAAAGAAAAAAATCTGTCACTAATTTTTAAATATTGATTACATGTTGAAATAATAATATTTCGAATATAGTGCATTAAAGGGTATTGTTAAAGTAAATTTTCTCTGTTTCTTTTCACTGTTTTTTAATATGACTTCTGGAAATTTATTTATTTATTTATTTTTTTAAAATATATTTTTTATTGATTTTTCACAGAGAGGAAGAGAGAGGGATAGAGAGCTAGAAACGTCAATGAGAGAGAATCATCGACCAGCTGCCTCTTGCACACCTCCTACCGGGGATATGCCCGCAACCAAGGTACATGCCCTTGACCGGAATCAAACCCGGGACCTTTCAGTCCGCAGACCAACGCTCTACCACTGAGCCAAACCGGTGCCGGCTGACTTCTGGAAATTTAGAATTACATATGTAGTTTGCATCTATGGTTCACATTATATTTCTACTGGACAGAGATGTTCTAGAAGCTCAAGAGACTCAACTGATAGTATTAGAATAGATTTTGGTACCATTCTATGACACCAAAAAAATCAACTTATGAAAAAATCAAAAGCCTTTCTATAAATGAGCAATAATTAGTAAGTCCAATCACAACAGCAACAAATCCAATAAAATACTCATGAATAAACGCAAAAGAAATGTGGGAGACCTTTAAGCAGACAACCACAGAACTCGACTAAAGGTCATATGAGACCTGAATTAGTAAAATGGTACAACAGATTTTCAGACAAAACAGTGTAAAACTTCCCTCAAGTTAATCTAAAATTCAGTATAACTACTATTAAAATATCAGGAGGAATTTATGTAATATTTTGTAATACAGTGTCAATAAAATACTGCTGAGTGTGGAAATACAAAAGAAAAAAACATGTTTGAGAAGGACTAACTTAATAAGGAATGCTCCTGGTCAAATAGCAAAATTTCTATAAAGCTATAGTCATTTACAAGTACGATATTGACAAGAGAGTAGACAAATAATTCAGTGGAAATGAGATCAGAACAGCACTACATGTGTTTGAGAATTAACCTTCTGATACATATAATATTCTAAATCAGTAAAAAAAAAAATTCTATAACTGTCTTTGGGACAATAGAATTTAATTATTGCCTCAATATATATTTTGAAATGTTTTTACTGATATTTTTAAAGAGAGAGGAAGGCAGAAGAATGGAGAGATAAAAGCACTAATGATAAGAGAGAAACATCCATTGGCTGCCTCCTGCACCCCCCTACTGGGGGATCAAGCCTGCAACCCAGGCATGTGCCCTGACTGGGAATCGAACTAGCAACCTCTTGGTTCATGGGTCAAAGCTCAACTACTGAGCAACATTGGCCAGCCTCTCCAGTATGTGTATGAACCTTGAGTTGAGAAAGCCTTTTTCTGATGCAAGTTACAAAATTCAAAAAGCTATAAAAAATAAAAATTTAACTACTTAAGAATTAAATGCTGCCGAAACCAGTTTGGCTGAGTGGATAGAGTGTCGGCCTGTGGACTAGAGGGTCCCAGGTTCGATTCCGAACAAGGGAATGTACCTTGGTTGCGGGCACATCCCCAGTAGGGGGTGTGCAAGAGGCAGCTGATCGATGATTCTCTCTTCTCGATGTTTCTAACTCTCTATCCCTCTCTCTTCCTCTCTGTATAAAAATCAATAAAATATATTTAAAAAAAAGAATTAAATGCTTTGTAATGAATTATATTATAAACAAAAATAAAGAAAACATTTGTAACATATAAACAGAAAATACTTATTTTTTAAAAGATTTCCTGCAAATCAATAAGAAAACTAACAATCCAAAATAAAAATAGATAATAAAAGTCCAAAGCAATAAAAAGAGGAAATGAGTTCATTAATAAGACAATGAGAACAGAAAATTTTAGAAGACATATAACTGCCAGTGTTGTTAGAGGTATAGAAAACTATCAACAGTGAGAGGTCAAAGTAGTACAGAATTTTTGTAAGATGTTTGGCAGTTCTTATAAAAAAAAAAAATGCACATCCCCATCAACCCAGCAATTTGGTTTTTTATACTACAGAATACTTGAACAGGTACACAAAGATTCAAGTATAGGAATAGTTACTGCAACTTGTTTAAAAGTGTCAGATAATGAAAACAATGTGGGTTGTTCACCAAGAGCTACAGTTAATCCACATTATGGAATGCAGTATAAAGCGGAAGATATCTATGTATTAACCAAGAAATATCACTAAGGTATATTGTTAACTAAAAAGAATAAAGTTGCAGAAAAATTAAAGTTAATAATTTTTAAATCACTCACTAAAATTATACTGTGTGTGTGTTTTAAAAACAGGAATAACATTCCCTAACCAGTTTGGATCAGTGGATAGAACGTCCTCCTGTGGACTGAAGGGTCCCAGGTTCGATTCCAGTCATGGGCATGTTTCAGGCACATCCCTAGTAAGGGGTGTGCAGGAGGCAGCTGATCAATGTTTCTCTCTCATTGATGTTTCTCTCTGTCCTTCTCCCTTCCTCTCTGTAAAAAATCGATAAAAATATAAAAACAAAACAGGAAGAACCAAGTGTACATCATACTGATAAGAGAAATTACCTCTGGCATGAAATTCAAGGACTTTTGCTTTATTTGTATAGTTAAATATTTTGCAATAAGAATATGTTAATTTCATTTAGTTCCTTAAAAATAAATGTAAAATAGCTCTCGCTGGTTATGGCCCAGTTGGTTGGAACATCCGCCTGTATACTGGGGGCAGGTTCAATCCCAGTCCTGGTGCAAACAGGAGGCAACTGATCGTGTTTCTCTCTCATTGATGTCTCTCTCACTCACCCTTCCTCTCTCTAAAATGAATAAAACAACCCTGAGGATTAAAAAAAAAAAAAAAAAAAAAAAAAAAGGTAAAATAAAATTAATTGAATACAGATCCAATTAGTACATAATTATGTAAAATATGGGGGGAAAAACCCTCAGGCAAATCACAAAATATAAACATATATAATACATTTCATTTTAGTTTTTTAAATTGTTAAATATACACATCTATGCAAGTAAATGCACCTACAGGTGCCTGAGAGGTATGCTGCTTTGAGACTGGTTTATTGTTTATTTTCATTTTAAAAAACTTCTAGTCAATTCCTTCCACTCAGAGTTAAGCTCTGTAACTGTCTACCCCAGATCCACCACTGAGTATTCCAGGATTATATGCAAAGAAAAGCACAATTAGGAAGTTCAATCTGTAACAAAAATAATCACAAAATGGGGTTTTCAATCCTCTTCACACTAGGAGAAATAAGAGTTGACTACCACTGGACAAATTTCACAAACAAGATTCTGATTCTCTTTTAGCATAACTTCACTCTCCTTTTTTTCCCTTCTCTCTCCAGTTTTTCCAAGAGGGCTGAGAAATTGCTTATAATACGAGACAAAATAACATTTTATTGAGAAGCTATCCCCCAGCCCACCCACAAACATAGCCCTCCTTCCTTTCTCTGGTAAATATTATTGCTATGTTGCTTTTCCTTATAGGGAGAAAGGAGGCAGCCTGCCATTGCCTACAATGTAGTTTAAACTGGCCCATAATATTGGACCAGAGTTATTCCAAAGGCTCATTTCTTTTTGCTGATCCAAGCCTCTGATCTGTGACCCAAGAATCTTAGTGGAATTGCATTTTCCTGTTGGAAAAAAATAAAAATAAAATCTCTCCACCAGAAAAATAAGGGAAAGTTACAGTATATTTTTTTCTGCTCTAAAAAACAAATTAAAGATCATAACCAAAGTTTTTAAATTGTATTCCTCAGGTCCTCCAAATAAAATCTTAAAATAAAATTCACTTAACTAAAAACTAAAAAGTATTACAATTAATAAATCTGGTGTTGATGATTCAATTTTTTTAAGTACCAACTCAAGATTATTTAACCTTA